TCCCCATCCTGGTCGGGGGCACTCCCACCCCATCCTCCCGGCGCTCCCCCTCGTTCTCCCCGCTCCTCCCTCCCCGCACTCTCCAGCCCATCCACCCCCTCCACTCTCTTCCCTCGTTGCGCCTCACCCAACATCACCCCCGCACCAGACGGGCTCGCGCCGCTCCTCCGGTCGCTCGCAGCACCCCGGGCGTCTTCCTTGGTCCGCGACGTGCGCCGCGACTCCGTCTCCATCCCCGCCATTTCCACGTGGCCGCTGCAGCGGGGTCACTCCTCCTGCGGCGCCTGTGGCTCCCCCACCCTCGGGCAGCAAGGCCACCCCAGACCACCCGGCCTGGGGCCCTCGCACACCCCGGGGTGGCTGGAGAACCCACGAGACACCGACGAGCGCTGCAGTAGTGCGTCAGGAAGAACAGGAACAAGAATGCGTTTCGCTGGTAATTACTCCAGCAGCATCGGGCAATTCGCCAGAATGGTAAAGCCCTCGCTTGCTCCCGGTTTTAAATAGAGCAGCAGGGTGACGTCATCATTTAACTCATATCAGGTGCAGTGATTAGAGGCGGAGGGGGGGTATTGTAATTATATAATCGATTAGTAATCAGTCAATGGTTATGATTAGTAATGAGTTGTAGATTAGTAATTAGTTGTAATGTGTGTTAGTGATTATATGCTATGTTAGTAATCCGTTTATTAGTATGTGTTTCCCCTATAAGGAATTGTAATGTGCATTCATATTCTTAGCTCCCTCGGCAAAGTCACGCTGAAGGGAAACAACAAAACAACAAATATATTTTATTATTTTATTGTTTCCCCCCAACGCGACTCCACCGAAAGAGCCAAGAACGTGAATTACTGCAGTCACGAAAGCTTTAAATGAAAATGTAATGTGTATTATTTAATAATACGCTTCCAGGCCGCACTAAGCCTGTAGCTGTCAGAGCGATTAAAATTATTTTTATTCATCTCAATTTCAATGGATTCTCTAATTAGTCTTTGCCAGTAATAATTAGTTTTACACAACACCGCAACATTATCAAAATCAATTGAGTGTCCTTGTTGAAAAGCATGTTCTGCCACTGCCGACAGTTGTGTTTGAGATAATTTAATGTTTCTGTGATGTTCTTTTAGTCTTACGCTGATGTTACGTCCGTCTGTCCAATATAGCATCTGCCACATAAACAATTAATCCGATATACACCTTCTGTTGATAATTTAGGTAATGCGTCTTTAGTGCAAGATACTAGTTTTTGAATTTTGTGTACTGTACCAAATCTTACTGTAATGTTTTGCTTTTGTAATTTGTCAGTTACTCCTGAGATATATTAGAGAATCCATTGAAATTGAGAGGACTAAAAATAACTTTAATCGCTCTGACAGCTACAGGCTTAGTGCGGCCTGGAAGCGTATTATTAAATAATACACATTACATTTTGATTTAAAGCTTTCGTGACTGCAGTAATTCATGTTCTTGGCTCTTTCGGTGGAGTCGTGTTGGGGGGAAGCAATAAAATAATAAAATATATATTTGTTGTCTTGTTGTTTCCCTTCAGCGTGACTTTGTTGAGGGAGCTAAGAATATGAATGCACATTACAATTCCTTATAGGGGAAACACATACTAATTAACGGTTTACTAACATAGCATATAATCACTAACACACATTACAACTAATTACTAATCTACAACTCATTACTAATCATAACCATTGACTGATTACTAATCGATTATATAATTACAATACCCCCTCCCCGCCTCTAATCACTGCACCTGATATGAGTTAAATGATGACGTCACCCTGCTGCTCTATTTAAAACCGGGAGCAAGCGAGGGCTTTACCATTCTGGCGAATTGCCCGATGATGCTGGATGTAATTTCGATTTAAAGCTTTCGTGACTGCAATGATTCATCTTCTTTGGTTCTTTCGGTAAAGTCACGTAGAATGAGAATAAAATAATAAATTGATAAAATAAAATAACAATAATATTCTCACGACGTTTCGGCCACAACACAAGCGGCCTTCATCAGGTGAAGGGAGCGAGACTGTCTGGTAGGACAGCGCTGGAGTGAGAGAGCCACGTTCAGATCACGGCTTTTAAGCTTAGAGTCGCGGCATCTCTTCAGAAAGGTGAGAGACTCGATTAGTTGAGCCTTCTTATCCCGAAGTCTGTTGAATGATCTTAAGGATGTGTGGAATCCCTCCCCGTAGAGGCGGTTAAATTTCGATTTAAAGCTTTCGTGACTGCAATGACCAAAGAAGATGAATCATTGCAGTCACGAAAGCTTTAAATCGAAATTTAACCGCCTCTACGGGGAGGGATTCCACACATCCTTAAGATCATTCAACAGACTTCGGGATAAGAAGGCTCAACTAATCGAGTCTCTCACCTTTCTGAAGAGATGCCGCGACTCTAAGCTTAAAAGCCGTGATCTGAACGTGGCTCTCTCACTCCAGCGCTGTCCTACCAGACAGTCTCGCTCCCTTCACCTGATGAAGGCCGCTTGTGTTGTGGCCGAAACGTCGTGAGAATATTATTGTGTTATTTTATTTTATCAATTTATTATTTTATTCTCATTCTACGTGACTTTACCGAAAGAACCAAAGAAGATGCTGGATGTATTTACCAGCGAAACGTCGTACTCAAACTGTAAATGTTGTGGATTCACTCTTCAACACACCGGTGGGCTAAAGTAGTGAATTATTTGTCTTTTGTCAACGTGACACTTTTTTTGCTGATTGGCCGTGTCGGGTGGTGGAGGGTTACGACACATTTATAAATAACGCGATCTAACCCAAAAACCTTTATTATGAATAATATTGGTCGCGAAAGCCTACGTGTTAAACTAACGGTAGACCAAGTTTGTCATTATTGAGACTCAGAAAAATAGTAACCTAATGCTCACTGCTTGGCAGGTGTACTTCTGGAAAGCTCACATTCGTTGTGTATTCAGTCCCCACTTCTACACTCTGGTGATACCCATACGATTGCCTCGTAGAAAACAATTAATTCAACTCTGTAAATGACGAGTAACTTACAAATTTGCTTTAAAATTGTCTCTCCAATAATTGGATTTAGTTTTGGACACGCATAGTGCATTTTTCCTGACGTTTGTTATGAGTATAACCTGTGGCACTCTGCAAGTGAAATAGTTTCTTGTAATTTTAATTTTGTATTTATAATGCCTCTGTTAGAAAATCTAATCTCGTTAATGCAGGAAGTACACGTTCACAAACATCTTGGGAGCTATGTAAAGAAGAAAATTCTTTCATCGCCTTTACTTCTTTCAGATGTAGTGAGTGTTGGGATTTGAGAAGCAATATTGTACAAATAATGATTGAAATACAGCATTTAACATTTATGGTATTATATATGAAGGATGATCATCATGTACGTGATTTACTGCATTAGTTAAATAAAATCATACACAGTACATTGATTTTTCAAATATTTTTCTGCGAGCATAGAATACTTTTTTTTGCAAATACTATACAATAGTTAAGTATCATACTATACAATCCTAATATATAAACACCCAGGTCTGTGATTCTGTCATTCTGTCATTCTGTGACTAACGCGGCACGGATTGGTTGAAGTGCATCACGTGACCGTGACCAAGCAGTCAACCAACGCTTGGCGGGGCTATAGAGGGGCGGTTGAAAGTCTGCATCGAACCAAACCCCCAGCAGGGCCATCTACTTAACGACGAGAGGAAATTCACACGAAATGTTTTCAATTAAGTATTCCAGATGTAACATGATATAAGCTTTTAATGAAGAAATACAATTATCTAATTCCAAACATAATACAATTAAAAATATTTCATTTTAAAACTTAAAAACGGAGCATCGGGCGCTTGCGTGAATACGTTGTTCGTGTGCAATTTTTTTTTGTGACACTCCTGGCCGAAGGCCGTAAATTTTTGTGAGGGGGCGCCATAGGCACCCCCGAACAATCACTAGTAGTTATATATTCAAACCATTGAACAAAGACGATCACTGCATTGCGCGCTTTCAGATGCGCTTCTGCGGCCGTCTGGAATGCTCTTCCGATATTAGGAAGCCACTGCAGCTGTGCACTTTTAAATCTAGTTTGAAAACTAATTTCTTTGGAACTGCTTTTTGTATTTAGTTTATTGTCCTTCCCCGCACCACTGATTATCATGGAAGTTCAACATAATACATATTGTATGTGTACAATATTGACATTAAATAAATGTCCCTCACATCGGCTAAAATTGCTTCAATGTAGTTGGAGTGTAAATACCTGTCCTCGCAGTCACAGACACTCCTTCACCAGAGAGATTTCCTTTGCCAATGGCTTTCACAGTGATGATGTATAGGACTCCAGGTCTTAGCCCAGCAAACTTGCCATTGAGTGAACCATTCGGGCTAACAGTAATGGAGGGTGAATCTCCAGGAGAGATTAATGCCGTGTATCGTTCAACATCTCCCAGAGCACTCAGCCAAATGACTTGCAGAGATGTGTTTGTTACTCCTCCACTGGCAAGAGTTAGATTTCTTGGCAAACCTGGTACTGGAAAGTTGCATGTAAATAAACAGCATACATTATGGGTAACTAAACATAGTTTTATATGGTGCTGTATTGTTCATTGTAGAAGTTGTATGGATATATGACGTAGTAATATATACATTTTAAGCACTTAATATATTTCATATCGCCAATGAATTTCCCAATTGTATTATCAGAACCTTGTCGTGGAATGAACATAGATATAGGCGAGCTCTCACATTATCTCTAGAGGGTTAGCCACATTTAAAATTACCTTTGGGATATTAATGTTATGCAATAATATATAATTCACACGATAATTTATGCACCACAATAATTGGTGTTCACATTGAAACCATCAACCGACTCCTGTACATTTCAGAACCTGGTTTAACTAAAGGTGGATATCCACATTTTAAATCAAGATCTTAACACTGCTAGTGGAATAGTCAGGCATAGGTCCTTGCCTCAGACAGATCGAGGCCAAGTAATGTTTAGATAACAACTAACCTGGAGATGTTGTAGATGGTGATGCTGTTGTGGTTGGCGATGTTGAAGATGTTGAAGATGTTGTTGGAGCTGTTGTTGGAAGAGTGGTTGTAGTTGGGGTATATGTTGTTTGTGACACTGTTGTGGTTGGAGATATTGTTGTGGTTGATGGTGATGCTGTTGTGATTATTATCAATGTTGTTGGTGATGCAAGTGTGGTGGGGAGAGATGTTGTGGTTGAAGATGCTGTTGTGGTTGTTGATACTGATTGCGACACGATTGTTGGTGTGGTTGCCTGATGTGTGGTTGTAAAATGTACAGTCGTTACATCTGTTGTCAGTGTATTTGTGGTGGATTGTGAAGTTGATTGGGTGGTAGTTTCTTTTGTTGTGGTTGGTGTGGTTGTCTGCGGTGTGGTTGTAAATTTTACAGTGGTTGTCTCTGTTGTCGGAGTATTTGTGGTGGATTGTGAAGTTGATTGTGTGGTAGTTTCCGGTGTTATGCTTGGTGTGGTTGTCTGCGGTGTGGTTGTTGTCAATTGTACGGTGGTTGTCTCCGTTGTTGTCGGTGTATTTGTGGTGGATTGGGAAGTTGATTTGGTGGTAGTATCCAATGTTGTGGTGGGTGTGGTTGTCTGTGGTGTGGTTGTTGTCAAATGTACGGTGGTTGTATCTGTTGTCGGTGTATTTTTGGTGGATTGGGAAGTTGATTGTGTGGTAGTTTGCAGTGTTGTGGTTGGTGTTGTTGTCTGCGGTGTTGTTGTCAAATGTATGGTGCTTGTCTCTGTTGTTGTCGGTGTATTTGTGGTTGTTTGTGAAGTTGATTGTGTGGTAGTATCCAATGTTGTGGTTGGTGTGGTTGTCTGCGGTGTGGTTGTTGTCAATTGTACGGTGGTTGTATCTGTTGTCGGTGTATTTGTGGTGGATTGGGAAGTTGATTGTGTAGTAGTTTCCAATGTTGTGGTGAGTGTGGTTGCCTGCGGTGTGGTTGTTGTCAAATGTACGGTGGTTGTCTCTGTTGTCGGTGTTTTTGTGGTTGTTTGTGAAGTTGATTGTGTGGTAGTATCAAATGTTGTGGTCGGTGTGGTTGTCTGCGGTGTGATTGTTGTCAATTGTACAGTGGTTGTCTCTGTTGTTGTCGGTGTATTTGTGGTGGATTGGGAAGTTGTGGCAGGGTTTTGGATGATTGCGTCTGTGATTCTGCTAGATTGTTCTGTTGAAGTCGATAGTGTGGTGGCTTGATGTGTTGTGGTTGCCTGCAGTGTGGTAGTTGTCAATTGTACAGTGGTTGTCTCTGTTGGTGTATTTGTGGTGGATTGGAAAGTTGATTGGGTGGTAGTTTCCGGTGTTATGCTTGGTGTGGTTGTCTGCGGTGTGGTTGTTGTCAAATGTACGGTGGTTGTCTCTGTTGTTGTCGGTGTATTTGTGATGGATTGGGAAGTTGATTGGGTGGTAGTATCCAATGTTGTGGTGGGTGTGGTTGTCTGTGGTGTGGTTGTTGTCAAATGTACGGTGGTTGTATCTGTTGTCGGTGTATTTTTGGTGGATTGGGAAGTTGATTGTGTGGTAGTTTGCAGTGTTGTGGTTGGTGTGGTTGTCTGCGGTGTTGTTGTCAAATGTATGGTGCTTGTCTCTGTTGTTGTCGGTGTATTTGTGGTTGTTTGTGAAGTTGATTGTGTGGTAGTATCCAATGTTGTGGTTGGTGTGGTTGTCTGCGGTGTGGTTGTTGTCATATGTACGGTGGTTGTATCTGTTGTCGGTGTATTTGTGGTGGATTGTGAAGTTGATTGTGTGGTAGTATCCAATGTGGTTGGTGTGGTTGTCTGCGGTGTGGTTGTTGTCAATTGTACGGTGGTTGTCTCCGTTGTTGTCGGTGTATTTGTGGTGGATTGGGAAGTTGATTGTGTAGTAGTTTCCAATGTTGTGGTGAGTGTGGTTGCCTGCGGTGTGGTTGTTGTCAAATGTACGGTGGTTGTCTCTGTTGTCGGTGTTTTTGTGGTTGTTTGTGAAGTTGATTGTGTGGTAGTATCAAATGTTGTGGTCGGTGTGGTTGTCTGCGGTGTGATTGTTGTCAATTGTACAGTGGTTGTCTCTGTTGTTGTCGGTGTATTTGTGGTGGATTGGGAAGTTGTGGCAGGGTTTTGGATGATTGCGTCTGTGATTCTGCTAGATTGTTCTGTTGAAGTCGATAGTGTGGTGGCTTGATGTGTTGTGGTTGCCTGCAGTGTGGTAGTTGTCAATTGTACAGTGGTTGTCTCTGTTGGTGTATTTGTGGTGGATTGGAAAGTTGATTGGGTGGTAGTTTCCGGTGTTATGCTTGGTGTGGTTGTCTGCGGTGTGGTTGTTGTCAAATGTACGGTGGTTGTCTCCGTTGTTGTCGGTGTATTTGTGATGGATTGGGAAGTTGATTGGGTGGTAGTATCCAATGTTGTGGTGGGTGTGGTTGTCTGTGGTGTGGTTGTTGTCAAATGTACGGTGGTTGTATCTGTTGTCGGTGTATTTTTGGTGGATTGGGAAGTTGATTGTGTGGTAGTTTGCAGTGTTGTGGTTGGTGTGGTTTTCTGCGGTGTTGTTGTCAAATGTATGGTGCTTGTCTCTGTTGTTGTCGGTGTATTTGTGATTGTTTGTGAAGTTGATTGTGTGGTAGTATCCAATGTTGTGGTTGGTGTGGTTGTCTGCGGTGTGGTTGTTGTCATATGTACGGTGGTTGTATCTGTTGTCGGTGTATTTGTGGTGGATTGTGAAGTTGATTGTGTGGTAGTATCCAATGTGCTTGGTGTGGTTGTCTGCGGTGTGGTTGTTGTTAATTGTACGGTGGTTGTCTCCGTTGTTGTCGGTGTATTTGTGGTGGATTGGGAAGTTGATTGTGTAGTAGTTTCCAATGTTGTGGTGAGTGTGGTTGTCTGCGGTGTGGTTGTTGTCAAATGTACGGTGGTTGTCTCTGTTGTCGGTGTTTTTGTGGTTGTTTGTGAAGTTGATTGTGTGGTAGTATCAAATGTTGTGGTCGGTGTGGTTGTCTGCGGTGTGATTGTTGTCAATTGTACAGTGGTTGTCTCTGTTGTTGTCGGTGTATTTGTGGTGGATTGGGAAGTTGTGGCAGGGTTTTGGATGATTGCGTCTGTGATTCTGCTAGATTGTTCTGTTGAAGTCGATAGTGTGGTGGCTTGATGTGTTGTGGTTGCCTGCAGTGTGGTAGTTGTCAATTGTACAGTGGTTGTCTCTGTTGGTGTATTTGTGGTGGATTGGAAAGTTGATTGGGTGGTAGTTTCCGGTGTTATGCTTGGTGTGGTTGTCTGCGGTGTGGTTGTTGTCAATTGTACGGTGGTTGTCTCCGTTGTTGTCGGTGTATTTGTGGTGGATTGGGAAGTTGATTGGGTGGTAGTATCCAATGTTGTGGTGGGTGTGGTTGTCTGTGGTTTGGTTGTTGTCAAATGTACGGTGGTTGTATCTGTTGTCGGTGTATTTGTGGTGGATTGGGAAGTTGATTGTGTGGTAGTTTGCAGTGTTGTGGTTAGTGTGGTTGTCTGCGGTGTGGTTGTCAAATGTACAGTGCTTGTCTCTGTTGTTGTCGGTGTATTTGTGGTTGTTTGTGAAGTTGATTGTGTGGTAGTATCCAATGTTGTGGTTGGTGTGGTTGTCTGCGGTGTGGTTGTTGTCAAATGTACGGTTGTTGTTTCTGTTGTCGGTGTATTTGTGGTGGATTGTGAAGTTGATTGTGTGGTAGTATCCAATGTGGTTGGTGTGGTTGTCTGCAGTGTGGTTGTTGTCAATTGTACGGTGGTTGTCTCCGTTGTTGTCGGGGTATTTGTGGTGGATTGGGAAGTTGATTGTGTGGTAGTTTCCAATGTTGTGGTTGGTGTGGTTGTCTGTGGTGTGGTTGTTGTCAAATGTACGGTGGTTGTCTCCGTTGTTGTCGGTGTATTTGTGGTGGATTGGGAAGTTGATTGGGTGGTAGTTTCCAATGTTGTGGTTGCCTGGGGAGTGGTAGTTGCCAATTTGGTAGTGGCTGTCTGTGTTGTTGGTGCACTTGTGGTGGATTGTTCTGTTGAAGTTGATAGGGTGGTGACTTCCTTAGTTGTGGTTGCCTGTGGAGTGGTAGTTGTCAATTCTGTAGTGGCTGTCTGTGTTGTTGGTGCACTTGTGGTGGATTGTTCTGTTGAAGTTGATAGGGTGGTGACTTCCTTAGTTGTGGTTGCCTGTGGAGTGGTAGTTGTCAATTCTGTAGTGGCTGTCTGTGTTGTTGGTGCACTTGTGGTGGATTGTTCTGTTGAAGTTGATAGGGTGGTGACTTCCTTTGTTGTGGTTGCCTGTGGAGTGGTAGTTGTCAAATCTGTAGTGGCTGTCTGTGTTGTTGGTGGACTTGTGGTCGATTGTTCTGTTGAAGTTGATTGAGTGGTGACTTCCTTTGTTGTGGTTGCCTGTGGAGTGGTAGTTGTCAATTCTGTAAAAACAAATCAGTAGAATGCATCAGAGGACACAGTAAGGACAATGCTTCGAGGTCACGCAAAGGACAATGGACCACGCCTCTAGAAATAATTAACGAAGGGTGCTTGCAATGAAAGTGCAAAAAGGGGTAGGAGGAATACAACCAAAAGATATACAGTAGATTGATGGGAAAGAGGATAATTGGAGAGAGGTTATCTTGCATAAGGGGGTGGAAGTCAAACCCGGGGGTCTCTAGGGAAGGAAAGGCTGGTCGTCAATAACCGTGTTCGTGCCCTACAGGTGTTCCTATTAGTGTTGTTGGAACAATAAAGTTCTCTTACCAGGCCGACTCGTGTGGACCCCCTTTTACTGCAAATTAAAACCGTGGTGCAGCATTAACTAATAGGGAAATTTTATTAAATGTGTGTTTCGTATTGATGAATGGACATTGATCCAAATCTAGTTGTAACTTTCAGAAACGTTATTCGCAAATGTTAAGCTTGTCTTATATTGCATTGGTTATACATCTGGCTTGTTTAATCCAGTGAAACTCAACTGCAGTTCTCTCTTTCTTGCTTTACTTAGACCAGTGGCTCTTAACCCGGGGTTCACGCACCCCGTTGGGGTGTGAGATGCCCTTTGTGAGGGTGCAAGACATGGCCAATTCTTTTAGAAGGTAAATCATCAAAACACAAATTAATCACGGGCACGTAGGTACAACTACTTTGTTTCATCAAACCGATGTATTTACATTATACATGGTTTTTTACACACTTTTATTGGACTTGCCTCGTCTGTTTATATTTTTAAAATTATTTTATTCGAAATCGAACAATCAAACATATAACAATTGTTAAGTAAAAAAAATATATAATAAGAAAAATTAAAAATTCCAATAAGAAAGCAATAGGACTTTTCTGTAATCAATAGAACATTATTCACTGATATCCAGCATATAGCTTATAAATTGACAAACCACAGACAAACCATTGACACGACAGTTAAACCCTGGGCCAGACGCGCAAAAAATCGCAGCCTTTGCGATTTGCTAATTGCATTGTTTAAAAATTAGATTTGAAATCGATTAATCGTTCAGCCCTAATCCACATTGATATGGAGTAAATATCACGGATCCTGTAAATCCGCCTTCACTGCGGAGGTTTGACCCAGAAATCCGCAAAACAAAATGTGCGCGGTGTGGCGTAGATTCCAAGAGGTCTTAGCCGCTTCTGGTAGAGATCCGTAAATCCGTAATTTCTTTGGAGAATTCTGAATCACCACTACCATGGATTTCGGGAGCAGTGCTCTAACCTATTTTAGTGTTCATTGTCCTGCTTCTATGTAATAGCCAAATGTAAGCCATTTTTAACAGGAGGCACAATTATTAGGCCATAGACTTTAACTTTTTTTAGGAAGCAGGGTGTCCAGGTCATTCAGAAATGATATGGAAAAATATGCAATATGTTTTTGACAACAGCATGAATTGCTTTCAAAGAAACGCTGATGGCTTCATGTACTTTATGTCAATGGAATTAAGACCCCAGTTTTATTGCACTGTCAAGGACCCAACTTGCCCAACATTGTTTGAGTCCAATACGAATTCAACTGGGAACAATGCTTGTTATGAACCACTAGATGGCACACTAAGCAATGTTTTTTTCGTTACTACGTGTATTCATATTATTTGGTTCTCTCGGTAAAGTCACGGAGATAGAAAAATAATAATAAATTAAGGTGAATAAAAACACACTAATGTAGACTGTAGCCTGGTTCCTAATCGGAGTGAGTGTACTGCTTGTCTATAATGTAGACTGTAGCAATGTTTATTAAGCTGGGTGAGTGTCCTGGCAGTCTATAATGTAGACTTTAGCTTGGTTCTTAACCTAGGTGAGCGTGCTGGCAGTCTATAATGTAGACTGTAGCCTGGTTTTAAGCTTCTTTGGTTCTTTCGGTAAAGTCACGTAGAATGAGAATAAAATAGTAAATTGATAAAATAAAATAACACAATAAATTCTCTATAATGTAGACTGAGCGTCCTGGCAGTCTTTAATGAAAACTTATTGATTCTTTCAGTAATTAAAATAAAATAATACAAAAACCACGATGTTTCGATCACAACACAAGTGGTCGTCATCAGCAAGAAGGGACTAAACCTACTTTCGCACCGTATGTGCTATTCGGAGATGCTGTAAAGAGGTACGCATTGCATTTGTTAATTAATGTTTTATATTATATTATAAAATGACTAATCACTAATATTATTTTGCGAGTGTAGTTTATAAGTCAAAGATTTAGTTTATAAAATTACTGTTTTGGAGGAATTTAAAGAAAGCTACGTTTGCGTTAATGACTGTTAAATTGATATTGCACTTGCATTACAATACAGTAGTACATCTTACTACATGATTAATGAATGACAACGATGTTTTAATTCGAATGAATGTTTATAAAGAAGACTAAAAAAGGGACTCATCAGAAGTCATATTCCTCTTATATAGATAACTGATACGAGTAACAAACGATAATACATTTCTAGCAGTGCTTATTAATGGAGGCATATCTGCTTACACTTGTTACCGTGTACTTTCTATTCACATGCTGAATTCGATTTATTTACAGCTAACTCGTTTTATTTGAATGCATATTTAACTGCATTTTTTTAATTAACAAATGAAACCAGCAACACTGACTAGTTTTTATCTTAACATTTTTAGTCGGGTACTAGGAAAATTCAAAAGTGTTAAAAATGCTTGAACTATTTTAGAAAGCACTTTTACTAACACTGTAGATGGATACTGATTTTAAAATATGTTTACTGCTACTCATTCCAAATTATTAAAAAGCACGCAAATCTGTTGTACGTCTATGCTCCCATGTCGATGCTGCACGGCTGGAAATTCAAGTTTTCCTGAATTGGGCAATGCAAACGGTCTAATGGTAGCCTGGAATATAAGGTCAACATGTTTAACGATAACCCTCCACCACCCGACAGAACCAATTAAATCAAGTTTTCACGTGGGCAAATGTCCTAATTGATCTGGTTTCTCACCAAACCAGAGGAATGTTGAAAAGCCAAAGTAAAATGTCAATTTTGTACATCAAAATTTTGCTTGCTTTCCACATTCCTCCGGTTTTGCTGAAAAATAATCAATTAACATAGTTTCCCATATGACAACTTGATTTGATTTTGATTGGCCCTGTCAGGTGGTGGAGGGTTAGACTTAAACATTTGACTTTATACTTGAACGATTGAGCCCGAAAGGAACGAGAGTATTTACGAATCATATTGGTCATGAAATCCAACGTATAAAATTTGCTCATGAGAAAGTGTGCACACGGCAATACTTATCACGTATAAAATGTTAACATAAGTTTTTTTCTATTCAAGTTTTCTCATGCATTGTTTATCTTGTCAATTTGCCAAAAGCCACGGGGTTTATTCGTATTTTTAGTAAACAAAGCACAAACGTATTGATAGCTAATGAACGATATTAAACAAGTTAGATTAAACTTGTTTTCATGTTACTGTCATTACCATGGAAGTATAATTTTATTTTTTGTCAATTTATGACATTCAAAAAATAATTTGCGAACTACATTGCACTCATTTGTTGCATCAATCAAACACTGAAGATGTGCATTTAGATATAAGATTGCATGGCATAAAACGGATTTATTGTTGAAACAAATTACCCGCTTTATAACAGTGCAGAATTCTGAAATCACATGAACCTGTATACATTTCTTGGTTGCTTGTATTTTACACTATTAATAATCATCGACATTAATTCGTTCCACTATTCACAGTTTATATTTACACAGATAATAATGATGAAAACACTCATCATCCTTACCTGAAAATAACAGCGACAGAATTAAAAAAATGGCATTTAAACCTCATTCTTGATCTTGCAAGCATCTTCTCGACTGATTACGATAAACAATGCAGTAGACCCCACTCCTTCCCTCCAGTGATGCTGCTTGTTGAAGCAGTGGACTAAAACCTATTTCTGTTAAGGCTCACAGGTGCTCTTTAAACAGCAGAAGCAAACCAGCCCTGACTTACTCGCTTCATACGTCAGCTCCTTAAATTACTTTTGAGAACTGGTTTGGAATTACCTTTGTGAATCACTGTGGGTGTATGCAGTTTGGCTTTAACCCGATTTTTTTGTTTATGGTGTCAAAGGAACGTTGAATGATTTTGTAATACGGGATCTACAGAAGGCATATTTGCAACGTCAATTTTTTTTTCAAATGCCAAAAGAATTAATTCCCAAGTTTTAAAAATGTTATTTTGTTTGCAGTTGTTATTTGCTTAACTTTTAGTATTGAGTTTAGCATGTGCGATTAAATCACGGTCATAACAAAATTCAACGCATATGTCAAGAACACTGCCCTAAAATAAATAAAAATAGGTGACGTTTTGGGCAGTGGGCCTTCTTCATAGCACACGCGCTATTATATATTTATTCTTAAGACATTTTTATTGACTGTGTTGAGAGAACTTGTTCATTGCCAATGCTGCTTCACTAAAACATGTTTAACAATCATATTTCGCAGTCATGTATTGCCTTTAGGACAGTTTGGCCCAGAGTAAAGCAGTCAACAGTGAATAATTAATCTGAACGTGGATATCACGCTGGCAAACATACTGCGTATATTCATCATCTGCAGCCAAGAACAATCTACTGCTAGATGAATCTCCCCCATCAGATGTCCAGAGGAGTTTCAGTAAGTAAGACAGGTTTAATACCAGCCTATTTAAGTATAATTTCTGCAAAAATATATTGATAGTGAATGGGGCATGGCAACTCTGATTTGCATGGTTGGCTACGTATGGTGCGAAATAAGTTAATCATACATATATTGCCCTGATGCTCATGTGCAATAGTTTCAACATTTAGCCACTAGATAGCAGACGTTATGCATGAGCGAATCAAATATGGCAACACCATTGTCCATCTGCACATCAAAGAGCAACGTGATGCATTTAATTTCGTGTCATGTTGATCACATTTACTTC